TAAAAAAAATTGAAAACTGTTCTGAGACAAAATTGAAGCACAACATACCAAAACTCATGGGATGCGGCAAAAGCAGTTCTAAGAAGAAAATTTATAGCAATAAACACCTATATCAGAAAGGAAGAAAGAGCTCAAATACACAATCTAGTATTATACCTAACAAACTAGAAAGGGAACAAACTAAGCCCAAAGTTAGCAGAAAAAAGGAAATAACAAACAGCAGAGTGAAAACAAATAAAATAGGAACTAGAAAAACAATAGATAAAATCAACAAAACTGGCCAGAGATGGTAGCTCACACCTGTAACCCCAGCACTTTGGGAGGCTGAGGCAGGCAGATTGCCTAAGTGTAGGAGTCTGAGACCAACCTGGGCAACATGGTAAAACCTCATCTCTACAAAAAAAAAAAAAAAAATAGAAAAGTGAGCCAGCCATGGCCAGGTGTGCCTACAGCCCCAGCTACTTGGGAGGGTGAGGCAGGAGCATCACTTGGGCCCAGGAGGTCGAGGCTGCAGTGAGCTGAGATCGTACCATTGCGCTCCACCCTGAGTGACAGAGCATGACCCTGTCTCTAAAAGTAAGATAAAATATAATAAACAAAACAGTTGGATATTTTGAAAATATAAACAAAAGAGAAAAAAAATTAGCCAGACTAGGGAATAAAAGAGACTATTCAAATAAAATCAGAAATGAAAGAGGAAACACAACAAATAGTGCAGAATACAGAGGGATCATAAAAAACTACTAAGAGCAATTATATTCTAACAAATAGGATAACAGAAAAAAAAAATGGATAAAATCTAGACATACATAACCTATTAAGACTGCATCACAAATAGATACAAAATCTTAGTATACCAAGAATGAGTAAGAAGTTTGAGTTGGTAATAGAAAGTCTCTCATCAAAAAGACCCTGGGACCAGATGGCTTCACAGCTGAATTCTAGCAAACATATAAGAAAACTAATAATGGAGAAACAATCCAAGATGGCTGATCGCTAACATCTCAGGATTGCAGCTCCCAGCGAAAGCGCAGAGAACGAGAGGACGCCACACTTTCAGACAAACTTTTGTTGCTCACGGAGCAGAAGATTCCCAGTGGAGGAGTCACACGGGTTGCCAGCGCGACTCCTGTGGCTGGTGCAGCAGTTTTGCTGGCACCTCAGCGCGGCAGCTCTTGGTGCAGAGTAAACGGGACTGGTTCCCCTTCTAACCGAGGTTTGCAGCTCCAGGAAGGCAGAGTCGCCTATTACCAACTCAAGAAAAAAGCCAGACTGGAGATTCCCAGGCAGAAAAGCACCATCAGTCTTAACGCCACTGTTTTGGCCGGCACAGTGGGTTGCTCATATTTTGGCCCTGGGAATTAACAACTTGGACGTCCACTCAGAGACCTAATTTGAAAGTTGGTAATTACAAAGACGACAGGTGGATAAATTTACAATGATGGGAAGAAACCAGCGTAAAAAGGCTGAGAATACTCAAAATCAGAATGCCTCTCCCTCTAAAGAAGATCACAGTTCCTCATCAAAAAGGGAACAAGGCTTGATAGAGAACGAGCGCATCCCATTAACAGAATCAGGCTTCAGAAGATGGATAAGAAACTTCTGTGAGTTAAAAGAACATGTTGTAGCCCAATGTAAAGAAACTAAGAACTTTGAAAAAAGGTTTGATGAAATCCTAATGAGAATAGACAACTTAGAGAGGAATATAAGTGAATTAATGAAACTGAAGAATACAATACGGGAACTCCGAGAAGTATGCACAGGTTTACACACTCGAATTGTTCAAGCAGAAGAAAGGATATCAGATGTCGAACTCCAACTTAATGAAATAAAATGAGAAGACAAGATTAGAGAAAAAAGGATAAAAAGGAATGAGCAAAGTCTCCAAGAAATGTGGGACTATGTGAAAAGACCAAATTTACATTTGATAGGTGTACCTGAATGCGACGGAGAGAATGAATCCAAGCTGGAAAATATTCTTCAGGATATTATTCAGGAAAATTTTCCTAAACTAGCAAAGCAGGACAATATTCAACCCCAGGTAATACAGAGAACACCACAAAGATATTCCTCAAGAAAAGCAACCCCAAGGCACATAAACATTAGATTCATCAGGGTTGAAACGAAGGAGAAAATACTAAGGGCAGCCAGAGAGAAAGGTCAGGTTACCCACAAAGGGAAGCCTGTCAGTCTTACAGCAGATCTCTCAGCAGAAACTCTACAAGCCAGAAGAGAGTGGGGGCCAATATTCAACATCCTTAAAGAACAGAACTTTCAGCCCAGAATTTCATATCCAGCCAAACTAAGCTTCACAACTGAAGGAAAAATAAAATCTTTTATGAACAAGCAAGTACTCAGAGATTTTATTACCACCAGGCCTGCTTTACAAGAGCTTCTGAAAGAAGCATTACACATAGAAAGAAACAACCAGTATTAGCCTTTCTAAAAATATACCAAAAAGTAAAGAGCATCAACATAAAGAAGAATTTACATCAATAAATGGATAAAACAGCCAGTTAACATCAAATGGCAGTAATCCTAAATTTAAATCGACTAAATCCCCCAATCAAAAGATACAGCCAAAACCCAACGGTATGCTACATCCAGACCCATTTCACATGCAAGGATACACAAAGACTCAAAACAAGGGGATGGAGAAAGATTTACCAACCTAATGGAGAGCAAAAATAAATAAATAAAAAGCAGGAGTTGCAATTCTCGTATCTTATAAAATAGATTTTAACGCAACAAAGATATAGTGGTAAAAGGATCAATGCAGCAACAAGAGCTAACAATCCTAACACCCAGATACATAGAGACTTAGACTCAATGAGAGAAAATTAATAAGGATATCAAGGACTTGAACTCAGATCCGGAACAAGTAAACTCAATAAATATTTATAAACCTCTCCACTTTACATACCCAAAATATACATTCTTGTCAATACCACATCACACCTACTCATCGGTTTAAATGAAATATTGATTGGCCATTATTAATACCCATTTTTTTTAGAATAAAGCAACATTTCCATTCTCTCTCCCTCTTTTTCTTCCTCTTTCTTCCTCTCCTTCACTCCTTTTTTTTCTTTCCTTCTCTCAAAAAAAAAGAAATCAACTTGTAGACCTCTAGATCCAGGTCGGCAATGTCTCTCTCATTGCCTGATTTCCTTCCTTCCCTTCTCTCCCTCCCTTCCTCCCTTCCTCCCTCCCTTCCTTCCTCCCTCCCTCCCTTCCTCCTTTCCTCCCTTCCTGCCTTCCTCCCTTCCTCCCTTCCTAAAAAAAAAAAAGAAAACTAATACTGTATCGGTCCATTTGTGTTGCTATTAAGAAATACCTAAGACTGGGTAATTTATGAAGACAAGTGGTTTATTTGGCTCATAATTCTGCGGGCTGTACACAAAGCACAGTGCTAGAATCTGCTTCTGGTGGGAACCTCAGGAAGCTTACAATCATGGTAGAAGGTGAAGGGGAGCCAGCATGTCATATGGTGAGAGGGGGAGCAAGCAAGATACCAGGCTCTTTTAAACAATATGCTCTTGTGTAGACTCACACAGCAAGAACTCACTCATCACGAAGGGAATGACACAAAGCCTTTCTATTAATGAGAGATCTGCCCTCGTGAACAACATTTCTATTGGGCACCACCTCCAACACTGGGGATCACATTTTAAGGTGACATCTGGAGGAGACAAACATCCAAGCTACATCAAACACCAATTCTTTTAAAACTCTTAAAAAAAAATTGAACTGGAGGGAACACTTCCAAACCTATTTTACAAGCCAGCATTACCCTCATACTAAAGCCAAACAAGGATAGTAATTATAAGCCAATATTCCTGATAAACATAGGTATAAAAATCCTCAACAAAATACTACAAACTTAATTAAACAGCACACTAAAAAGAACATTTGCCATAAGCAAGTGTGATTTATCCCAGGGATGCAAGCTTCAACATATACAAATCAATAAGCATAATACACCACATTAGCAAAATGAAGGACAAAAACCATATGCTCAATGGACACAGAAAGCATTTGATAAAACTCAATATCCTTCATGATAAAAACTCTCAACAGGTATGGATGGAATATACCATAACACAATAAAGGCCATATATGACAGTCCCACAGCTAACATTATACTCAAGGGTGGAAAGTTGAAAGCTTTTCCTCTAACATCAGGAATAAGACAGTAATGCCCACTCTCACCATTTTTTTTTTTTAACATAGCACTGGAAATCCTTACCAGAGCAATTAGCCAAGAGACAGAAAGAAAAAGGATCCTAATATGAAAGGGGAAAATAAATTGTCTGTTTGTTGATGATATAATTTTATATATAAAAAACTCTATAAATACTCCACCAAAAAATTGTTAGAACTGATAAGCAGAATCAGTAAAGTTGCAGGATACAAAATTCACACACAATAATGAGTAGCATTCGTGTACCCTAACAGTGAACTATCTGAAAAAGAAATTAAGAAAACAATTCCATTTATAGTAGCAACAACAAAAACAACAACAAAAAAGGGGTAAATTTTTAAAAATTGGTTAAATGAGGTAAAAGATCTGTATATACTGAAAACTGTAAAACACTAATAAAATCAATTGAAAATGACACAAATAAATGGAAAGTTGTCCCATGAAAGAATTAATATTGTTAAAATGCCCATAGTACCCAAAGCAATTTAGAAATTCAGTGCAGTCTCTATCAAAATTCCAGTGTCATTTTCACATAAATAGAAAAAATAATCCTTAAATTTGTATGGAACCTTTAAAACAAACCCAGATAGCAAAGGACTCTTGAGCAAAAAGAGCAAAGCTGGAGGTATCACACTTCTTGACATCAAAATATACTGGAAAGGTACAGTAATCAAAAGAGCATAATATTGGCATAAAAACAGACATATTGACCAACACAGCAGGATTCAGAGCTCAGAAATAAACCCACACATTTACAGACAATTGCTTTAAAAAAAAATTAAGAACAGGGTCTTACTACATTGCCTCAAACTCCTGGACTAAGAGATCCTATCACCTCAGCCGCCCAAGTAGCCGAGACTACTGTCAGGAGCCACAACGTGTGGCTAACGATCCATTTTTGCTTCAGGTGCCTAGAACAAAGGAGAAAAGATAAGCTCGTCAACAGATGATGTTGGAACATTGGATATTCACAAGCAGAAGAATAAAATTGGATTATTATCTTAGACCATATACAAAAATCAATGCAAAATATATTAAAGACTTAAATATAGGACCTGAAACTATAAAACTCCTAAAGAAAACATAAAAAAAAACCTCCACAACATCGGTCTGGGCAACTATTTTTTGGATATGACCCCAAAAGTACAGGCAACACAAGTAAAAATAGACAAATGAGATTGCATTAAACTAAATAGCTTTTGAACAGCAAAGAAAACAGTTAACAGAGTGAAGAGACAACTCACAGAGTGGGAGGAAATACTTGCAAACCACACATCTGGTAAGGGGTTAATATCCAGCTATATAAGAAACTCACACAACTCAAATCAGGAAAGCAAATCACATGATTTTTAAATGGGCAAAGAACCTGATTAGATATTTCTCAAAAGAAGACATACAAATGGCCAACAGATCTGTGTAAAATAAATGCTCAATATCACTAATTATTAGAGAAATGCAAATTAAAACCACAAGGAGACAGTACCTCACACTGTTAGAATGGCTATTTTCAGAAAGATGAAATAAAGGTCGAGTGTGGTGTAATCATAAAACATATTTGTGATGGTTATAATCCTCTTGAATTTGTAAACCTCATTTTGTGGCTGTATAGGTCAGTTCTCACACTGCTATACAGAAATACCTGAGACTGGGTAATTTATAAAGAAAAGAGGTTTAATTGTCTCACAGTTCCACAGGCTGTATGGGAAGCATGGCAGGAAACTTACAATCATGGCAGAAGGTGAAGGGGAAACAGGCACATCTTACATGGCTAGAGCAGGGGGAAGGAATAATGTACTTATACCACTATTTCTTGATTCAACAGCTCTAATCAGTATCTAGGGTAAAATTAAGTAAGCAGGAAGCCATTGACCTGAGACTGTCTTCATGCTTTGAATTCCTATGAGACAAAGTGCAACCTAACTTAGCATGGAAACAAACTGAAACTTAGGAGTTTCATTTTTATAACAGATAGCCAGGTCTCAGCCAATCACAAACAGCCAAGGTTCAACAAAGGGCAAGCAGCCAACCGACTGGCTCATGTCTAAATCAAGCAAAACACTTAGCTGCAACAAGTCAAACTATTTCTGTACGTTACTTTCCTGCTGAGTTTATAAATACTCATTGTCCACAGTTGCAGAGCTCTCTGAACCTCTTCTGGTTCTGAGCACTGCTGGATTCATGAATCATTCTTTACTCAAATAAACTGTTAAATTTAAATTGTCTAAGGTTTTTTTTTTCTTTTTAACACTAGATAACCCTCTCAGCAATAGGAAAATGATGGCCCATAGAAGTGAATATATTTTTCTTTTTGTTGTCTCCACTCCATATTATCCACAACAGGGCTCAAGCTAATAATAAGAACAACAAAAACAGTAATTGTGTGTAAGAACTCAGATCAATGTTTTACTATTCTGTGATTCTTAAAGTAAATATTTATGAGTCCATACTCATATAAATAACTGACTGAATAAATAGAAAGAACAATTCTCCTATCAGAAAAAATCCAATTAATAAATGTAAAAAAATAAGGAAATAGAGAATCACCATTAGAACACCACAGTAACAACAGCTGCAGGCAAGATCCACTGATGAATAATGAAACTGATGGGTGACAGTCTAGGGAGCAAACTGGATATGTGCATAGCCTCAAAGTATCTCCCCTAAATATTTATTAGTTACCATGGTGCTGTTAACATATATTCACACCTTCTTTAATATTCTTTCCTCCAGGGAATAGATTTAATCTACTCAACCCTCACTCCCAGTGTGGGCTGCACTAAGTGACTCCCTTCCAAAAACTAGGGTTTAGATAGGGGAAAATGGTGGCTTTACAGTAGAGAAACTTGCCAGTTGCTCCACCTTAACCAGGTGACCAAGGTAACGTCACCAGTGATAAGTCATGTTGATATCCTGTATCTCATGTCATGATTCAAGGAGAAGAGCACCTTAGCTCTGTGGCATACTTCCCAAAAGTCCACAACCCTAGTCTTATTCTGAGGAAACATCAGACAAACCCAAATGAAGGGACATGCTACAAAATAGCTGATCAATACTCTTCACAAATGTAAAGGTCATGAAACACTAGAAAAGGCCAAGAATCTTTCATAGAGATGAGACGAATAAAGAGGCCGGATAACAAAATTATGTGTGGTATGCTGGACTGGATCCTGGAACAGAAAAAGAACATTAGTCAAAAAAATGGTGAAATCTGAGTAAAATCTGTGGTTCAGTTAATAGTAATGTACCAATGTTAATGTGTCAGCGTTTATTGTTATACCATACTTATATAAGATTCTCACATTAGGTGAAGCTGGATGAGGGGTATTCAGAAACCTTGTACTATCATTACAAGTCTTGGCTTTTGTAAATCTAAAATATTTCCAAATATAAAAAGTTTTTTAAAATAAGTGATCTACCTTTGAAATGATACCTTTAATTATTATGCTGAATTAGCTCTTGGACACTTTAAAATTCTGATTATTGGAGACAAACAAAAATGTAGCTGGGTGTGGTGGCTCATGCCTGTAATCTAAGCACTTTGGGAGGCCAAAGTGGGAGGATTACTCGAGCCCAGGAATGCAAGACCAGCCTGGGAAGCATGGTGAAACCCTGTCTCTACAAAAAAACACAAAAATTAGCTGGGTGTGGTGGCATGAACCTACCTGCTACTCACGAAGCTGAGGTGGGAGAACTGCTTAAGCTTGGGGAGCAGAGGTTGCAGTAAACCAAAATCGCACCACTGCACTTCAGTCTCGGGGACAGAGTAAGAGCCTGTCTCAAAAACAAAACAAAACAAAAAACAAGAAAAAAGAAGAGCATGGTAGCTCACATCTGTAATCCCAGCACTTTGGAAGGCCAAGGTGGTCGGATCACCTAAGATCAGTAGTTCGAGACTAGCCTGGCCAACTACTGAAGGCACAAAAATAATTAGCCAGGCGTGGTGGTGGGGACCTGTATATTAGCTCGTCCCATGCTCAGGAATGACCAAGGCAGTTTGGAGGTTAAACGCACGATGGAGTTGGTTAGAAAAAATTACCCCTCGTAATTTTCTCACTATTAAAACTTAAGCAAAAGCTGTTGCAGCGTCCCTGGGCCACACCTGCGCGCTCCCCAAGGGGTCCCCAAACACCCGCAGGATCCCCAACCACCCCGCCCCCAGGCTAAGGGCAGTCCTGGCCAAGGGCTGCAGGCTGGCCCCGCCCTGCGCGCCAGGGGGCCTCTGCCGAGCAGCGGCTTTCTCTCCGAGGCTGCGCACTAAGGTGGTGGGCGGTCCGGGGCAGGCCGGGAACCCGGGTGTCTCTGCCGAGCTCCGGGAAAAGGAGTTCTTGCAGCTGCTCTTCCGGAGCCTACGACATGGGGCCCGTGCCGCGCACCCTGGAGCTCTTCTACGATGTGCTGTCCCCCTACTCCTGGCTGGGCTTCGAGGTGACGCTGGGGGAGCCGCCTCGGGCGGGGGCCTGGGGAGTAAGGGCGGAGGGAAGGGCGAGCGCAGGGAACAGGGGCAGAGGTCTCGTGAAACTCCTGGCGCTGCCCACGGGGTTAGGGCAAACAGGGAGAACTCCAGGGCTGAAAGTCAGTTTGTTGTTTGAAACGGGATAGAGTTGGTGGCTCCAAGCCGAGCCTTTATATCCCGACTACAGTTTCCCACAGTGGTGGAAAGAGGGGTGGCTCCAAACGTTCAGGGAGAAATCCAGGGCACGGCCACCTCTTAGCCCAACGATGGCAGTTTTGGGGAAAACTGGCCACAGGAGCAAAAATCCTGGAATAGATTTCTAGTAGTGGGGGGAGTTTTGCCATTTCAAACCAAACAATGTAGGGTGTCCGAATAACCCCTGCTCTGCACTTAGCGACCCCCTTCCCTTTCCTTCGGTCTTTCACTTTTCCATCTGCACACTGACTCTCCTTCTTGACCTCTGCCCACAGGTCCTGTGCCGGTATCGAAACATCTGGAACATCAACCTGCAGTTGCGGCCCAGCTTCATAGGAGGGATCATGAAAGACAGTGGTAGAAAGGGAGGGTAGGGGCAAGGGTGATTTCGGTGGCCCAGGAGAGCCGACCATAGCGGGTCCTTATACTGGCACTGGCAGCTAGAAAGCTGCCCTCTGCAGTGGTGGCTCACACCTGTAATCCCAGCCCTTTGGGAGGCCAAGATGGGTGGATGACGAGGTCACAAGTTCAAGACCAGTCTGGCCAAGATGGTGAAACCCATCTCTAGTAAAAATACAAAAATTAGCCGCTACAGTGGCAGGCGCCTGTAATCCCAGCTACTAGGGAGGCTGAGGCAGAATTGCTTGAACCCGGGTGGCGGAGGTTGCAGTGAGCTGAGATCACGCCACTGCACTCCAGCCTCTGTCGAAAAATGAAAGGCAAGGGAAGGCAAGGGAGGGCAGGGCAGGACAGGGCAGGGCAGGGCAAGGTGGAGAGGGGAGGGGAGCAGAGGGGGAAAGAAAAGAAAGAAAGAAAGCTGCCCTCTGCCCAAAACCCAGGCTGAGGTCCCCAAACCTGGGACCCTTAGGTCTTCTCTCATGTCGAGTGCCCAACCTTCCCCTGCCAGGAAACAAGGCTCCAGCTCTGATTCCCCGCAAAGGACAATACATGGCAAACGACATAAAGCTCCTGAGACAGCATGTCCAGGTTCCCATCCAGTTCCCTAAGGACTTCTTCTTTGTGGTTCTTGAAAAAGGTAAAGAGAGTGGGATGCAGACAGGATATCCAGTGAAGAGCAGAGAAGTCAGAGATTGAGGGGCTAGGATGGAGGGGCTGGGGGAGATTAAAGTGAGTGAAGCCTGCCTTGGGAAACATCAGGATCAGCATTGAGGATGCTGAAGGTTGCCAGGCACGAAGGGGAGGAAGAGCAGGAAAATAGGTCATGGGAATCTTGGGTGAGAGGCTGAGGGCAGAGGAGTTCTG